CCCCCCTTTCACATTAGTTTTCCTTCACATTAGATTCCTTCCCTTTCACATCAGGAGTCCCCTTCACATTAGAGTCCTTCCCTTTCACATCAGGAGTCCCCTACACATCAGATTCCTTCTCTTTCATATCAGGAGTCCCCTTCACATCAGATTCCTTCTCTTTCATATCAGGAGTCCCCTTCACATCATATTCCTTCTCTTTCATATCAGGAGTCCCCTTCACATCAGATTCCTTCCCTTTCACATGAGGAGTTCCCTTCACATCAGATTCCTTCCCTTTCACATCAGGAGTCCCTTTCACATCAGATTCCTTCCCTTTCACATCAGGAGTCCCTTTCACATGAGATTCCTTCCCTTTCACATCAGGATCCCCCTTCAGATTAGAGTCCTTACCTTTCACATCAGGAGTCCCGCTCACATCAGATTCCTTCCCTTTCACATCAGGAGTCCCCTTCACATCAGTTTTCTTCCCGTTCACATCAGGAGTCCCCTTCACATCAGTTTTCTTCCCGTTCACATCAGGAGTCCCCTTCACATCAGTTTTCTTCCCGTTCACATCAGGAGTCCCCTTCACATCAGTTTTCTTCCCGTTCACATCAGGAGTCCCCTTCACATCAGTTTTCTTCCCGTTCACATCAGGAGTCCCCTTCACATCAGTTTTCTTCCCGTTCACATCAGGAGTCCCCTTCACATCAGTTTTCTTCCCGTTCACATCAGGAGTCCCCTTCACATCAGTTTTCTTCCCGTTCACATCAGGAGTCCCCTTCACATCAGTTTTCTTCCCGTTCACATCAGGAGTCCCCTTCACATCAGTTTTCTTCCCGTTCACATCAGGAGTCCCCTTCACATCAGTTTTCTTCCCGTTCACATCAGGAGTCCCCTTCACATCAGTTTTCTTCCCGTTCACATCAGGAGTCCCCTTCACATCAGTTTTCTTCCCGTTCACATCAGGAGTCCCCTTCACATCAGTTTTCTTCCCGTTCACATCAGGAGTCCCCTTCACATCAGTTTTCTTCCCGTTCACATCAGGAGTCCCCTTCACATCAGTTTTCTTCCCGTTCACATCAGGAGTCCCCTTCACATCAGTTTTCTTCCCGTTCACATCAGGAGTCCCCTTCACATCAGTTTTCTTCCCGTTCACATCAGGAGTCCCCTTCACATCAGTTTTCTTCCCGTTCACATCAGGAGTCCCCTTCACATCAGTTTTCTTCCCGTTCACATCAGGAGTCCCCTTCACATCAGTTTTCTTCCCGTTCACATCAGGAGTCCCCTTCACATCAGTTTTCTTCCCGTTCACATCAGGAGTCCCCTTCACATCAGTTTTCTTCCCGTTCACATCAGGAGTCCCCTTCACATCAGTTTTCTTCCCGTTCACATCAGGAGTCCCCTTCACATCAGTTTTCTTCCCGTTCACATCAGGAGTCCCCTTCACATCAGTTTTCTTCCCGTTCACATCAGGAGTCCCCTTCACATCAGTTTTCTTCCCGTTCACATCAGGAGTCCCCTTCACATCAGATTCCTTCCCTTTCACATCAGCAACGCCTCTATATCAGAGTCCCCCCTTTCACATCAGGAGTGCCCTTTACATCAGAGTCCTTCCCTTTCACATTAAGAGCCTCTTTCATATTAGAGTCCTACTCTTTCACATTAGGAGCCCCCTTTATATCAGAGTCCCCACATTCCCATCAGGAGTCTCCTTCACATCAGAGTCCTTCCCTTTCACATCAGGAGCCCACTTCACATAGAGTCCTTCCCTTTTTAAGATGAGGAACCTCCTTTACATGAAATTCCCTCTTTCACTTTAGAGTCCTTCCCTTTCCAATCAGAGTCCTTCCCGTTCACATCAGGAGCCCCCCTTTCACATCAGAGTCCTTTCCTTTAGCAAAATTTGAAGGCACCTTAAACAAAGCCACGGCACCCTGGTTGACAAAAACTGCCCTATGCCTAAAGCTGATCAAGAGGAATGCAGAAAATCCTCTTATAAGGCATAGTCCAATATGCTCCAACATGGTAAAGGAAATCCCTTCCTGATCCTGTAATCAGATATTCCCTGGATCGATAATCTCTGGTTTTATTGCTGATAAATGTTAATAGCCAGTTATATTTTCTGCCCTTTGGAATGCCCCTAGCTTTTTCAGCTGGCTAGAACCAGTTCCTGAGAGAGTCTATTCCACATTTTCACAGCTTTTACTGTGAAAGAGCCATTCTGTATGGGAAGGTTAAACCTCTTAATATTCACAGAGTGCCCCCTTATCCTTTGCAATGACCTTAAAGTGAATACCGTTGCACCAAGTTCACTATATGCACCAATTATGTAATCAAGAAGCAGCAAGAGAGGTGAAGGAAGCACAGATCCATAGAATGTGTGAAGCAGGGAGATCCTTCCCCCATGGGTCCTCAGGTACAGCTTCTTCTCCAGCAAGGAGAACAGTGAGCAGCACAGTAGTTATCTTACTTCTGTGGTCTCCTTGCAACTAAAGCTATGGCAGGGCTTTGCTTCCTCGTGTTAGAGTGCTCCCCCTAATGAATGAGGATCTAATTAGCGGTGGAGGGATATTCTAAAGAGGTAGAGGAAGCACAGAATGAATGAAGCAGAAGCAGGGAGATCCTTACTCTGCAGGTCCTCAGGTACAGCTTCCACTGCAAGAAGGAGAACAGTGAGCAGCACAGTAGTGACCTCACCAAACATTACTCCAAATCCGATTAGAATAAGGGTCAGAGGACAGTACAGTACAGTAAACCTGCACTTTTTATAGGAACTAAACTGTGAAAGCTTTGCCCAAAAAAGGCCATCAGAAGTAGAGGTAAGGCTTTCTTCCTGTCAGAGCTGCCCTCCTAATAAATGGTAGTCTGATGACTGATGGGGTAATCAAGAAGCAACAGGAAAGGTGGAGGAAGCACAGCTCTATAGAACAATGAAGCATGGAGATCCTTCCCCTGCAGGTCTTCAGGGACAGCTTCCTCTCCAGCAAGGAGAACAGTGAGCAGCACAGTAGTGACATCACCAAATGTTACCCCAACAAGAGTAACAATCAGAGGCAGCAGTGCCTTAAATGATCTCACACTGCAGATATAATGAAGAAAAATGATAAATTTTTCAGGGTATTTCTTAGGCACAATTAACATTTATAGATGTCACCTACAACATAGCAAATCTTCACTTCAAACTGTGGCCCCTATTCTATGAAGGTACAGTCTTCCTATGTGCAGACATCTCAACTCTCCCAGATGTTCCCGGGAGTCTCCTGCTATTAGAGAAACATTTTCTCCTTTCCCTGCTGTCTGTTTTTGTTTTTTTCTGACATCGGGGCCGCTGGCAGCCATCAGTCAGAAAAAAAAAAAAACGGCATAGAAATGAATAGCTAGAATGCTATTGGCTATTTTAATTTAC